GGAGGCAAAAGATTGATAAGGTGGGAGAAGAGAATAAAATAGTTAAGTTTTAACTTATTATAAGTCAGATTACTTAATATTAAAAGAACAGGCGTTTGAAACTAACACATTAAGCTAAGAGGTCCGAAAAAATACATTTCCAACATTATGGAAAAAGGATTTCTTATTAGTTACAATTAGAATTTTATATTAGTCTTGCTAAGCTTGAATCAGTGGTCATTTAGTGAAAGTTTAAGCGGACTCTAAAATACGACTCGATTTCAGAAACCAAATGTGATTGATTGGATGGGATAGTGAGGTGGGGGGTTCCAAACAAAGATGAAGTCATTTGGTGACTGGGGGGAGGCTGTGGGTAAAGGGAGATAAAGAAAGAGCGTGTGTAAAATTTTCTTTTATACTGCTCTTAAGAACGCCATCTAGCGGACCTTACAAGAAGTTACAAACAAAATGGTGTAATCCCACAATAACCATCAACATCAAAATAATACTAATTTGTTTATCGTATCTGAAGAAAATGTCTTCAGGTTTCAAAAAGAATACAATCCCACAGTTCCTGGTTTGAAGACACGCATCTGTTGCCTTAGGGTCAGCGGATTGTGAATGATACTGATATATATATATATATATATATATATATATATAATGATCTTAAAATTTTTGCTGCCTCAATATATATATATATATATATATATATGTATACAAGTATATATATATATATATATATACTAGCCAGGTACTTAAAAGCCCAATTGTACAATTGTATAACCGCCCCCCTGTATACCCACCCCCTGTCTAGAAATATCAGCCTGCGTCCCCGCTGGCATGCATCATACATTGGTATACTAAGCTATTCCCACTCATCTTTTTTACGGTATGTCCATCGCAAGTGTTTGATTGTTCTTAATAAAGGAATTTCATCGATAAAACCTTCTTGTGTGGTCGTTGCTCGGGGTGAAATTGTTTCAATGATTTAGATATTCAGTAAATTTCCTATGGCCGTAATAACTTTCAAATAGTATGGCATTATTCACAAATCTAATAAATAAAAACAGTGATGAATCGTTCAACTGCAAGGGCAAACACATGAATGCCCGCCCTCTTTTTTCGCACGTTTACTGTAAAGCTGGGATTAATAGGAGGTTCTTCAGGGAATTCTTCCCTTTTAACACTTCAATAATACTTCTCAAACAATCTTTTCATTAAGTGTTGTTCGAATGTCAATTTAGGATGGAATCATAAGAAGAAACTACTGGGTAAATGGCAAAAGCCGATTTTGGACCTAGTTTGTTGCAGATTTCGTCCATGTAACTGAAATAATTTAAACCAAACATTCAGCCAAGAAAATTGTGTGTCATATGGAATTTACATGGTAAATTTGGAAAGCATTAGATCAAAAACCAGAGTTATGACCCCAACAACGGGGTTTTTGAACAGTTTTTCTTATTTATTGCACGATGACAAATTTTTTGCGACATGTTTGAAGAAAATCGGAATAAAAACGAGGGAATTATTCAAGTTTTTATTTTAAGTAGTACAAAAAAACAGATTTTTTCACAGCCTTTTGTAATTTTTTGTGTGAGGATAAATATCAAACACTCTTCTACATAAACCTTGTAATATGAACCATGTTTTACATTATTTGTTAAGGACATCAGATCATCCATTAAAAGTTTTGCTTGCATGTTTTTTTTTGTTTTTTTTTTTTGCAAAAAGTAGGATCCACCTTCAGTTTTATCGGCGTAGCCGATTCGACATAGGAATTTTTCAGCAGAGTGACGATTAGGCGTCAGATTACTACATCGTCGTTATAGTCAAATTCTTTCTCTCTCTCTCTCTCTCTTTCTCTCTCTCTCTTTCTCTCTCTCTCTCTCTCTCGTTTAGTAGTCAAATTATTACTTCGTCACAAGCGTCGAAATGCGAGGATGACCCCTATTTTTACTTCCGAGATATGGAACCCTTATGAACAAACTCTAAATAATGAAGATCTCGCCAACAATCACGCCGAAGCTGCCAATCAACGTTTGCAATATGAGCTAGGAATGCAACATCCTTTATTCTGGAAATTTATTGATGTCGTACAGAAAGTTCACAGAAGACGTAATGCATTTCTTGAAAAGGTGATCGCAGATTTGGTTTGAGGTGAAAGAAACACAGAATAGAAGAATGTTCTGATGGCCTGAATTTGGTTCAGGTCGACCTCAACTTTCCAGGATGTGACCTACAAACTTGATTTCATGACCTTCCTCTGCGGCACATATGCGGAATCCAGTTAGGAAACTGCAACGGACTGTCGCTGATTCTGTTATAATTTTGAATAGCGCCTTCTATAAAATGTCATATACATGTATGTATGTGTTTCTTAAATATAATAATAATTATAATAATAGCTGGCCACTCGTATTCAATGATACCGGTCTACTAGGGTGGCTAGCAAACTCTTGCTCAGGCACATTTGTGTTTGTTCAACACCCACAGAGCAAACCTGTGGTTTATACTGCAACTATGCTGAGCAGACCTTAATTAAAATTTCTGGGAGAGAGCATGTTCCCCAGAATGATCAACAATCTGAACAACACCAGCACACTCAAATCCTCGGTCACGATGACTTGTGACTTCGTGCTAGCACAGCTATCGACGGCCCCAAAGTGTTCCGTCTACCCAATTTCATTCACAAGGCTTGGGTCAACCCGTGGTATGGTCCTCAATGGCTTCCCAAAGATGCCGCACGCTGGGATCGCCCCCCACCCCAGACCGATAACATCAGGAAATCTCCTTTCTGACAAATCGACCATGGTGAGATTCGAACCTGGGTCTCGTTCAGAAAGTGAACGTTCTAACCACTCCGTCACGCGCCTATATAAGTAAGTAAATCTTAAGTATACATCTATACATACATGTATGTTGTATAAGTGAAGTTATATTTAAAATGCTTTCACGCATCTTGACAATACGGGAAAGCTAATATATTAGATATTCAAAATGCCGTCTCATGTAGTTAAATATATTTAGTACAGGTTGTTTCTCTTGTATAATGATAACTTTAAGTACTTTGAGTCATTTTTTAACAGTTAGTACTGTATAGTATTTAGATTTTATCTACTAATATTTCTCTTTTATTAATAGTTATAGGTTAACACGTCCACTGCCGAAACAATTCGTGTCCATATCGATCATCGTATCACCAAAATTCAGCTATTCGTATTTTGGAATAGAAAAATAATTCATTAATAGAAAATGGCGTAAGGTAGAGATGTGTCGTCTCGCCAGACATATTCAATCTTTACAATGAGGCTACCTTGAGAGAACTAGAAGTCCTAATAAGATCTTAACGACATAAGATTTAAAGATAACAAAGTGTTGATAGTAGGGCGCAGTATGGAAATTACAGGAAGTACCCGTAAAGAACACTTAGAACTAAAGAATAAGAATCAAGTGTAAGAAGACAGCATCTGTGGCTGTGGTTAAGAAGGTCAACTCAAGATACCAAGAACAAATGGCAGGTTCCAGAATCTAGCAAGTACGAAGATTTAAATCTCTGGGAATTGTTTTAACACACGATGAAAAACAGGACAGATAAATACGAACACGAAAAAAGACGCCTTCCAAAAGCTAAACAATGTTTTAAGTAAAATGAAAATTTCATTAAAAACAAAGAAAGTATTATGAAATTGTTATGTAATATCAGCCCTGGTATGTAGCAGTGAATGCTGGACAATTTTCTTGCAGGTGAGGAGGAGACTTGTAGGCGTTTTGAAAGCAAAAGAAATATTTGTCAGAGATTACTTTCACAACGCAGAGAATAAATCACTGAAAGTTCAGACTCTAACATTGGGGGACTGAAGGAAATGCCAAAAACTCAATTCGCAGGTACTATCTCACAAATCACAATGCACGCAACCAGTCAGAAAAATAACTCATTCTCCGACGAACGCAGCAGCCAAAATACACAAATTCTCCCCGATTCGAGAACAACAACTACTTTTATCAGCCGAGCATTTTTTCCATTCGTCGACAACTGGGAGAGGACACCCAATTTTAGCATATGAAAATACTTTTACGGCGACTCCTGCAACGGACTTGTTTTTTTTTATTTTTTTTTATTTTTTTTTTGTTTTTTAATTTAAATATTCCTTCTTCAGCATGTCATGCGGAATTTTTTGCTAAATAATTTTCTTTTTCGCCACATTTTCCGTCGTAGGATACACGCGACATGCTGTCGCTTGGTTTGACGAGGTAAGTCACCGTTTTTTTCGCTATAAGACTTGAGGCAACAAAGATGTATTTCTACAGAAGGATGCTGAGAATACTATGTGCAAAACATGTGAGCAACAAAGAATTTCTATGGGAAATGGGAACAGAAAGGACACTTATACTTAAAATCAGAAAAAGACAAATGACATTTCTAGGACATCATAATCAGGAAAGAAGGTTTGGAAAATTTAACACTTAAAAGATACATTGAAGATGATGTGTCCTAGAAATTTCATGGAGTCGAAAAGTAAATGTTTCAATGGAATCAAGGTCTTTGAAATTGGTTGGCTTTAACGCCTTAGGAAAGCAAGAACGAGGACAAAAGTATCATTATCATTAGCTAGCCTCGAAACCCCCACTCTTGCATCATTTGCAGCCTTGTCTGCAAATCATTGGCAAGATTAAATCTCATGTCAATGCTTGAACTGATTTAGTTGTTAAGCACTCATACATCGAAATCGACGTGAGAATTCATCATAATTATAATGCTGTTACTAAAAATAGAAAAATAAAAAAATTATAATGTTGTTACTAAAAATAGAAAAATAAAAAAATTATAATGCTGTTACTAAAAATAGAACACCTGTAAAGTCTTTGATTTTCCTTCCATTGCCAAATAATATTTTTCCAACTCGGATTGTTTTTCTTAAAATTTAGTTATTGCACAATTTCAATTTACTTTGTTCTTTGTTTTGAAAAAAAAAATCAATTATTTCCTTTTCTTTTTGTCTTTTTCTATTACATTTTACTCAGATTTTGTTGTCTAAGAAGAAAAGAAAACCGAAGGAAAAAATAGAGGAAAAAAGAAAAAGGAAAAGTAAGGAAATAGAGGAAAAAAGAAAGAAAAGAAAAATAAAGGAAAACGTAGAGGAAGAAGCGATAGAGGAAAGAAAAAGAAAAAAGAAAAACAAAGAGAAAAAAAGAAATAGATGAAAGAAAAAAGAAAGAAAATTGAAACGAATGGATAAAAGAAATACAAAACAGAAAAAGAAAGAAAATAAAACGGAGGGAAAAAATAGAGGAAAGGAAAAAAGAGAAAAGGAAAACGAAGGGGGGAAAGAAAGGAAAGAAAAAGAAAGAAAATAAAAAAAGAAGAGTAAAATCAAATAGAAGAATGAAAAAGAAAGAAAAGGAAAATGAAGGGAAAATAAGAAATAGAAGAAAGAAAAAGAAAACGAAAGAAAAAAGAAATAAAGGAAAGAAAAAAGAAATAAAGGAAAGAAAAAGAAAGATAATAAAAACGAAGGGAAAAATAAACTGTAGAAAGAAAAAGAAAGAAAACAGAAACGAATGAAAAAAGAAATAGAGGGAAAAAAGGAAAAAGAGAAATGAAAGAAAAAATAGAGGAAAGAAAAAGAAAATGAAAAGAAAAAGGAAAGAAAACGAGAGAAAAGGAAAACGAAGCGAAAAATAGTAGGAAGATAAGAAAGAAAATGGAAACGAAAGAAAAAAAGAAATAGAGGAAAGAAAAAGAAAGAGAAATCAAAGTCTATAGACATAAAAAAGAAAGGAAAAAAAACAAGCAAGAAAATGACATACGAAAACGAATAAGAAGAAATGAAAGTATATGCATTTGGTTTGAAAAGAAAAAGAAACAATAAAAAACTTGATTAGCAAAAGAAAGAAAGAATCTGTTAAATCGCACTAAAAAGATAAAGAAAAGTTCCCCAATGAAGAAAAACAAAAAATTAAAGTCACATTTTCTTAAAGACTCTAACAGACTATCAATTGGTCGTATGCTCTGAACTTGTCATTATTCGCGCCATCTTACTGACAAGCTTAGTGAGTTAAAAGAGAGAGAGAGAGAATAAGAAACTAGGAGAGAACGCGTAAGTGAATGAACGAATTAGAAAGACTGGAATGTCGGTGGGAATAAAAGAAAATGAGTGAACCTTACTATTATTTTCCAGTCAATTCTCTACCATTCCGACCGTCGCCATTGTTGTCTTCGTGCTGCCGAAAGGCGATACAGCAGAGACAATACAGTTCATTGGTCTGCCACCACCTGTCGGTTTTATTGACAAAAATCAGTCGAATCCAACTTTTGATTTTGTTACCATAGCAACACTAGTCAAAGAAATATTTCTTTTTATTCGCTTTTGTTCGCATGACATTTCACAGTTTTTTATAATCATTTTGCATTTGATATTAAAAGAGTCTCTCCGTCAAAACAAGCGGAAAAATGGCAGTGCGATAATCATTTATTCCCTGACTGATATCCAAGACGTTTCCTCAGTATTCATTCATGGCATACACGCAAAACCTTTTCATTAGCGTCTATACTAATAGCCATCTATTACAATTGGACTAAGCTTTCTTCTACTTTCCATAATATTAACAACATTTTTCTAGTAGTGTTTATTTCTTTTGCACAATAAAGTTATTCCACAGCATCCTGCTAATCGCTGTTGTTGATATTTCCCATCAACCTTTTTTGACGACCAATTCACTTTCCCTAATTCAGTGGACTACAGATATTCTAGAAGTGAATTAGGCTTTATAACATATATATATATAGGAGACAAGGAAGCGGACATCGCGTTGCAGCTAGTGACGTCACACATGACCACGCGAGAGTGAGAAACGAGAAGTATTAAGTATGGGAACCCGTTGGTATAAACTGTTATAAATTATAGGCATTTAAGCATATTTGTGGAGATTTCATAGTTTATTTTGTTCAGGTTAGGTTTCAACTGTTTTATGTATATAGCTTCAAGAATTTTTAGTTTTTGTTTATTGTTTTCATGTTTAAGTATAGTTGCATTGTCAACAAGGATTTTCGGGAATTGAGTATGCGGGCAGGCATGTTTTTTATCAGACAATATGAAAGGAACTTACTTAAAATAAATAGACAAAACTTGTCTATTTTATTTAATGAAACATGCATTAATATATACATATATACATATATATATATATATATATATATATATATATATATATATATATATATATATGTATGTATGTATGTATGTGTGTATGTGTATATTATTATATAATGACGATGCTCTTACTTTATATAGAATGACAAGAGACTTGTCATTGAACATAAATAAACAACAAACGGAAATGATAAGACAACAAGTTGTGAGGATTAATACAAAACAAACTATCCGCAGTTTATTCGTATAAGCCGACACCCCAGAAGAGTTTTCTTTGTGATTCAGAAGATCAGAATATAGTGAAAAGATTTGTTGAAGAAGTAAAAGTAAAAAGGAACCAAGAAATAGAAGACTCATAAAACAGCACTACATATAAAATACGGAAAAAAGTCTTTTAATAAAATAACTTCAACAGAGAGAAAAGAAAACAATATAGAGACATTCCTCAGAAAGCGAAGGACCACTAATGATTATAACTTTAGAAAAATCGTGGAAAAAATGTTTCTGGACTGAATACCTTCTAATACGTCTTTCTCTTGCACGATGGTGTCTTACACTAAAACATTTAGGAGGCAGGGTCTACGTAAGAAGTGTATAGGGCGCTTCTGCAGCATCTCATTTCTAATGCTTGAAGTTTTCTGCTGTAATTCTACGGTTAATGTTCATTTGTAATCATATATATTTTATTCTGAAGTCATCCGATCACTGCTTAAAATACTTCAACCAGTTTTGGGTTGTATGAGTTAGATATTGTTTTATGCCCTTGCATTTCTTGAATTCTGCAAATTCAACGGCTTTGAGGCCCAATTTAAAATAATGGCTAACCTTACCGCAATTTCAATACACTATAACAACTGTAAGAAAACGTTCAGCTGAATAATAATAATAATAATAATAATAATAATAATAATAATAATAATAATAATAATAATTGGAAGGATCTCTGGTAGACGAAGCCTTAAAGAAATACAAAAAAATTATTCACATGTACACTTGAAACCTTACGAAGGGCTTTATCTATGTAAAATTCATATCGAGAAAATTGTTAAAAAATAGTTGTCCGAAAAAATTATTAATTAATTCTAATCATATCCCAATGGTCCTGATAAAACCCAGCGATTATAAGGCGAAAAATCAACATCATCAATATATATATATATATATATATATATATATATATATATATATGAATTAACTGATTTAAAATATGGTTTTTTCGCTACACAGTAATAACCATGTTTCAAAAATGGGAGCTAAAAACTTTTACTATAGAACTTACGGTTACATCTAGCCAATTCAACTATAAATTTACGAGAGCTTGTTGCCAATAGAGTTATGCACTTAAATTAATAAAGCCCAGGTACCATAAGGAAGAACTCAACTGAACAGTTACCATGAAAATATTTATAGAAAAGACAGAAGGAAGCAACTTTACAGCGGAGGGAAAGTGACTGAAGCCGAGACGCCAGCAGGGTTTATGAGTTTCTAGCCTTATACGCCACCAAATTTGAATTCAGAGTTATCTTTCCCCTAGACTAGTTGCCAACCAAGGATAGAGATCCTTATCTGTTTAACTATTTTACCTATCGGTGGAGTTAAAGAGATTTATGTCTTTCCCAAATGCATTAATGCTAAGCAAATTCAAATTGTCTCAGCTGAAATTTGAACTTGGCATGTTCATTCCATTTTCTGGACAGTTAACCATTAAGCTATCTGAATATCTTTGTTAACATTCGACAAGCTTATACATACATAACTTTTTATGGCATCATTCACCAACTTAAACAAGGAGACCATCCAGAAGATTCCGAAGTCGTCTGAAGCAAATGGCGATTTTATTGAATAAATTTATTCTTTAGTATTTCAAGATATTTTTGTGTAATTTTGGTAAATATATCTGTTAAAATGAGATGTCAATGTTATTTTCAGTTTTATGTATTTTAGATGACAATTTATCCATCGCACCATTTATATATATATATATATATATATATATATATATATATATATATAATCTAACTCTCTCTATATATTAAAGATAGAGAAGAGAGAGAGAGAGAGAGAGAGAGATTTTGTGATACCTCTTTTTCTTAAAACCTGTAGACTACCTGTAGGGTCCAAGGTTACATACCACCTTAGATGCTGTTGTAGTTTCAGTACCTAGCAGGTTTTATGATTTGTTAGCCATGTTTGAATTCAGACTTACCCTTCTCCTAGACTGGTTGCCAACCAAGGATAGTGATCCCTATCTGTCCTCCTATTTTACTGTGGTTATGTCTTTCCTAAAGGCATTAATGTTAAGCAAAAACAAATTATCTCAGTTGGAATTTGAACTTGGCATGTTCATACCATTTTCTAGACAGTTAACCATTAAGCTACCTGAATCTCTTTGTTAACATTGAACAAGCTTATATATGCAGATGTTCTGAAAAGTTTGCCGACCCCTAATCTACCCCGATGAAATTATTTATGATCAATAGTCACCTGCTGTGTAACCATATGCTTTAAACTAGTTTAATAGTTTCGTTTTGTCTTGTTACGCCTATTTCGTCAGAAATCCAAAAATAAATTACGTGTCCAATAACACACCGAGAGTGTAAGCTCTCTCTCTTTCTCTTTCTCTCTCTCTCTCTCTCTCTCTCTCTTTATCAAGAGCTATTTCTGCAAAACCTTATTTTAAATGATAACGCTACAAAATATTCAGTAAATATATGAAGATTCGTTAATTGCATTTGCCGACGCATGGCTTCAAACCAAAAGCGTACACGTAGTCAACTTATCAAGCCAATATGTCGTCTCTGTGTTCACCGACGAAGTCACAAATTAGGAAGACATATTAATGACAATTCACCTGACCAAATACATTTATTGTTAGTTTTTTTACGCATTTGTTGTTGACGACATTAATTATGCAACAGTCGGACTAAATAAAAATTTACAAATTAATGTACGAAAGATCGTTGTCGCTTTTATCATTCAAAATCAGAATATTCAAATAATTTAATTTTTTCTAAAATTCATAGATTCGACTATTTAACATAACATTAGTTGTTCTCTCTCTCTATCTCTCTCTCTCTCTTTCTCTCTCTCTCTCTATATATATATATATATGCAAAACAAAACAGACTATCATTATTGCCATGTCCGTGTATTGTTTAATATATTGTAATGTTATTGTCATCTTTGATGATGGCTTATGTAAGCCGGAAACTTAGGATTAAAAAACGTGTATCAATATGGTGATTTTCTTTCGTCTTTCAATGATAATGTTATTAAGCTTATTAGACGATATGAAAGGAATTTCCATAAAATAAATATACAAAACTTGTCTACATTATTTAATGAAACATGCATCAATATATATATATATATATATATATATGTATATATATATATATATATTTCTCTCTCTCCCTCTCTCTCACTATCTCTCGCACCTTCATTTTGGTTGCTATAGTCACGCGGTTTAGATTCTTGTACAATTTGGATTCCATCAAGCGTCACTGTTGGAATGAATCCGACATTTGCAAATGGACACCGAATATGACAGACGCCTGAAGACGGTACACCGTTTCGGCCGCTGTAGCAAACAAGACGAAGATATCAGTTCGAATGAATCAGGGTATAATAATGAAAATTCCTACTATTACAAATAGCAGAAATGACGTAATTAAAAAAATCAAGATGTCATTGCTCGTATGAGAAATTCAACCAGAAATTTCAATTTAACGCCCAAAATAAAAATCCTTGTTAATTCAGTCAAGATAAATGTTACATATTCCATTTAGCTATCAAGCATTTTGAAAGTACAAGAGTCTATATATTTTCCAGAAAATTATTACATTCAATTTATATGTATGTATTTATATGTACATATTTATATGATTTATATGTATGTATCTATATGTATGTATTTATATGATTTATATGTATGTATATGTATGTATATATATATATGTGTTGTGGGGCTCTCTTCTTTTTACACAAAATGGACTCGTCCAAAGTATACTTATACTGAGAGAGAGAATATCTGCTGTTGAGGTACGTCGAGATACAGTCTCTGGCTGTGTGCGACGTCTGTCGAACTTTGGCAGAGAGGAACCCGGACGAGGCTTTGCCGAAGAGCAATGTTTCGTCCGGAGAGTTAAACAGTTCCCGAACCCGCTAATGCGGGTTCAAAGGGGATATTTTTTGCCTGAGCCTAGAATCTCGGAGAAACCCACGTTAAACTT